GCTGACAACTGTGAGTACCACTAACACATTCATCAATGTCTATAATACAATGTAAAGACGTTACAATAATAATAGGAACAATGTCATACCTATACACATTCCAGTGTTATTCATTTGATATCCATCAATACAGTTACACTGATAGCTTCCTAATGTGTTAATACAGTTACTTCTTAAAGGACATACTCCAGGATCCACAATGCATTCATTAATATCTAAATGAAGATTGCATCACAATACACACGATATACAGTAACTGTACATACCATCACAAGATGAATTATCATTCATTAGTTTGTATCCAGTATTACATTGACAGTAATAGCTTCCATTAGTGTTAAAACAGAGTTGTTGACAGCCACTGGTACCCATTGAACATTCATCAATATCTGTATGTACATGTATGGGAAAGGAATGCTGAGTAACAACACTACAAAGACAACAGTAATTAGATTGTGGGTAGGTAGGCATACTACAAAGGAGCCACAAAACATGTTTACCATTAGTCTTAAAAATCTAATTCTAAAGGACTGCCTTTTGGTTATTACAGTTGATTGACAAAAAATATTATGAATAAATAAAAGTAAAAAACAAGGCTTCCCTAAAAGAATATCAATTAGCATAAATACATATTTAATATTTTTCTAGTAGTATTCTTTCAGCCATATAGCTAGTTCTTACCAGTACAGTTTCCATATCCATTATCTTTATATCCAGCTCTACAAGAACAGGTGTATGATCCAACTGTATTACTGCAAGTTTGTGTACAATTGTGATCACCAGTCTGACATTCATTGATATCTGAGTTGATATTATAACCAAAATTGAAACCATATCTATTTTACCTTCACAGGTCAAATTGTCATTTTTAAACTGATATCCAATGTTACAATCACAAGTATATGATCCTTGAGTATTGATACATATTTGATTACACACATTATGACTACATTCATTTATATCTAACGATAATGATGTTCAAGTATACACATGATTGAGTAAACTTGAGCTTACCTGTTCTACACCTGTCTCCAGTCCAACCAGGATTACATACACAACTGTTAGTTGGTACACAATATCCATTACCACATACTGGACTACATAATACTGTACAAATGATTTTGATGTAATACTGCTATACAATTCATGTACTTGATCCATACCTTCATCACACTGATCTCCAGTCCAACCATCAAAGCATCGACACAAGTTATCAGCAACACAGATACCATTACCACAAGAAAAATTACAAACAGGAAAAACATCTAATGATAAGCAATTAATGCCACAATTCTGATGATTTGATTATTTACTTTCTTGTAGTGAAATCATAGCTGGAAATACAGTTATTCCAAATGTATAAATAGAGGTGGCATGATTCTGTATTTGAACTGATAATTTTCCATTTCTACCAGTATGAACTACTGAATGATTACTAAAATATCTATTAATTTCAATTTCAGTTCCATATGCTATACAATATTCCTTTTAGAATCATATATTGCTGTCCAGTTTACTGTTGCTAGTCCATTATGTAGAATAGCTGTTGGAGAGAATCCTTCAACTGATGCTGTAATAACAAGCTTTGAATAACGAGAATAATAATGGTACAGAACAAATTCAATTTTTTGAAGGTATTGTTCTATTGGTGGTACTAATACCATAGTAGTACGATAGAATAATGTGTGAGGGAACAGGACGACAAATATTGGTTTATTAGCTTCCATGTAACAATATTCAGTTATATTATACTGATAAGTACCAATAGCACCATTAGTAGAGTATCTTGTAGTGTTAGTGGTTCCATTACAGTATATTGTTATACTGGTATTGGCTTGTGATGTGATGGTCTTTATATAAGAAAGATGCAGTGTGCTGTTATAAATATTAATGAAGTTTGACAGAATGAACCTTTTACCCCAAGTTATTTTTGGAGGAACTTGTAACTGGAGTCGATTACAATATGAGTTTTCCAACATTTTAGGAGTACTGCCACACTGGTGACCAGTAATAACAGTCAGTGGTTTATTAGAAATAAAGTGTGTTCCTGATATATCACTTCCATTCCCTTTACCCAGCATTAGAGTCTGTCCTTCATGTAGTGTAATAGTATGAGAGTTACCTTTAGTTACTAATATATCATCACTCCCATTCTTCTGTACATCAATAGGAATGAAGAGATCAACTGTTGGTATAATACTAATGACAGTA